TTTGATGCGTCTCTGTGTTCGTTTTTTATTTTTCCGTAAGAATTTTTTCCGAAGAAAATTTAGCGATACAAGTCCTTTCTTAAATAAAACTAGTTTATTCTTTCTCAACTCAACTTTGCAATACACTTAATTTCCACAGTCACTTTAACATAAACACACGCTATAATTCACAACGATTTACGCACTTTATTTACGGTCACTACCGCGCTTGAATCAATTGTCCGTCTCTGTCTGTCTGCAAATCTGTTCTTGCCGTCACTTTATTTGCCGGCTTATATATTCTAAATACGTACATCCAGATTACACTCGTCTCTTCGTGAATCTTCTAGATACTCATCACGTGTTACTAGAGTCACGTGACTTCCGTTGTCGTAACAACATTTTTTTTTCTTCCTTAAAGATTCTACAAGCTGCTTTTATTTGCACGCTATACACCAAAGGGTAAAAGCACACATAAAATGGAAACTACGTGGGCCTTTGATTTGGGAGTTACAGTTAAATGGTCATAAATCGACCCGAAGATGCAATATTTAAATGAAATGAGTCCATAACAGCTGCATGTATTGGACCTTCCCAAAAACGACAGTAAAAATAAATTCACAAGTTACTGCTCATGACGATTTATCAATGAAGAAGAAGTGGTACCAAGATAGTATTGAAAGACATGTAAGGGTGATCTGTGTATAGCTGTATCATCCCTATATTTTTGTTTGCATTCTTTATGGCACTGCAATCCCTACATCAGTTTACATTTACAAAATTATTTTTATTATTTGTTTTCTAACATATTTTACTCTGACTGAAAGTTGGTGTATTCTATGAATATATGAAATATAAGTTAATATTATGTGTATTGATGTTTTCCTTCACTTCGTACATAACATAGCGGTTGGTTCCCTAAGGACACCAATTGTATAGTGTACAAAGCATTGAGTATTCTACATGTTACTGTCATCTAATGTCCATTTATTATTTGCTGGTAATTCCTGTTTCACGTTGTACTTAAGCTTTTCAAAAGGAACACAGTATTTATGTAAAAAAGCTAACTTCAAGGGGTAATGATAACATCGTTTACACTAGAATTAGGATTTGTTAAATTACTACTAGTTATTACGACTAAGGGATGACATTGAGCACTGCCCAGAAACACATAGAGTGTATTTAGGTTTAAACTGGCGTTAGTGATAAAGTAGTTGTAATTTGGTCGGTTGGTCACTTTCTTGTTTGTTATTTTAGCGATTGTTTCTTGCCTTGTTTTGGAGGCTTGTTGGGTAGACAAAGAAATGAAAGTGAAGGGAAATCATCTTTTAAAGTAAAACTCTCTGTCACAGTTGATTTTTTAGCGTGCATATTTGTATTGTTACGACAGCGGAAGTCACGTGACGCTGCTGGCGCGTTGGCGCTGGTGGCGTGCGTAAGGAGTTTCTCGAATGATCGGAGAAGTCCGAGTGTGTTCGAGATGCCCTCTTCGTTAGTATATAAGCCTGGCAGGGAAAGCCAACAGGGAGATAAATGAAGAGAGAGAGCAGTAGTTACTTTGAGTTCCGTGTAATTTATGTTTCTGTTAGTTTCGAGCTAGTGAGCCGTAAAGTGTGTGTTTTGCACTCGTCGAGAGCGAACTTGAGATTGTGAAACGCTGTGATTTATAGCGTGTACTATAAAAATTGTTAATTATAATGTGACGAGAAACGTATTGATTGTGGAACTACTGTATACTAAAAGTTTGTATCGAGGAAGAATAAAGTGGTTTAAGAAAGGACTTGTATTGCTCAAGATCCTCGGAAAGAATTTCTACCTGAAACAAACAAACAAGCAGATACATAACAGTATTATGTCTATTGAGTACCTTGGCCATCCCTACATACAGAGTCTACCGACTCTATGATACTTATTACCTTGCCAAGCTTCTTTTTCATTCTCGAATCCATCAGAAAATTTAATAACTTTATTATTTGGTGCACTTACCATCAGTTCCTCAGAGAAGAACCTGGCGTACTAGCAAGGTAAATATACATATATATGCACATTTAAAGATGTTTCTCTGCGATATTTCTGATAACATGTTTAAATATCTCATTTTAATATCAAAGTCAAGCTAGTAGACCTGTAAATTTCTTGAAAATGAGGGAGAAATGTCATAAATATAAGTTTAAATTGATATATAGGTGTTGGAAGATTTACAGAAAGTTAAGGATTTGGTTATGAGATATAAGTGACAGCTGACTGATAATGCTAAATCTGACACAAATGATTTTTTAAAGTATAAAATGGGGATTGGCTCCTCAACAAATGCTGATGGCAAGGCTATTGTTGAAAACAGTGATCTTTAATATACTCTCTTCTATTTCTACAAGATAAGATATTAGCAATATTCCTGTCCCTGAGCGTTTCTATTGGAAATACTGGAACTGATCTGACTCACATAACTATTAGAAATTGAAAGAAAGAAAAAAAGATAAAGCACCAGAATGGCCGGATGCAAAAATGATCGTAAACAAAGATTCCATGACCAGAAATGCTACTAGTATAGCTAGTGAGTTTAATTAACACAGGCGTTCAAGTCCATTTCCAAGAACAAAACAGGCAGTAACATGACAGTATACGTTTTTATATTTTCATTAGCCAGAATAAGTAGATTTTCTGCCAAACTGTTTTGGCGAACGACCAATTTTCCAAACTGCGTCACTCATAAAATCGCAATATTATTGAAACCAAAATAGGTATCTTATGTTTTTATAACTGATACCAATTTATGAAGCTTTTGTTATAGATTTTGTTTATCGTTATATGGAAGTAGCATGTCTTTTTCTACAAAGTTCTATGTTTAACATATTTCTATCAATACACAAAAATATAAATAAATACATGTAGGTGTCATGTTGGTTAAAATATAGGTTTTGTAGCTCATTACACACACACACATAAAATGATCGTTTTCAAACCATAGGCTTTAATATATTGGTTCACTGGAAGCACGTATTAACATCTAACATCGTCATCATACAAAAAGATAATAAATACAGATGCCGTAACCAGTTGTTGTAACAGTGTATGCAATTGGTTCAGTTTAATTTCGAAAATGTTACCACGCAGACAGACCGTAAACTCAGACTCCGTAATCAATGTTATTCACATTATTGATTGTTTGTTTTTGTTGGATTTTGCGCAAAACTACACGAGTGATATCTGCATTAGCATCCCTAATTTTGAAGTGATAGTCCAAAAGGAAGGCAACCCTTGGGCTATTCTTGTCAGACATAATAGTGGGATTTGACCGTCACTTTTATAACGCTCCCACAACAAACAAACAAAAACTAGCAGAAGCTACAAGGAGATCTGTCAACTTCTTAGCAGTGACGGTAAAATATTTTATTTGCTTAGTTCATTTGTTTGCTTTTCTTCTTATATGGCCCCCAGTGGCACAGCAGTGTGTCTGTGGACTTACAACGCTAGAATCCGGGTTTCGATAGCCGTGGTGAGAAGAGCACAGATAACCCATTGTCTAGCTTTGTGTTTACCTGTCTTAACAGTCTTCTTATATGAAAAACAGTGCTTTTCAGATATCATTTATACTGTTTTGTATGGTATTGTTTTTTAGTAATTTTACATGCATGCAGATGGTGTGAGTGTGTTTGTTGTTTTTTATAGCAAATCCACATTTGATATCTGCTGTGTCCACCGAGGGTAGTCGAACCCCTCACTTGAGCGTTGTAAATCCGTAAATTTACCGCCGTCCCACCGGGTGGCACATGCAGAGGGTTAATCAGCTTTATAAGAATGATCTGCATATGCTAATGTATTGGTGTGTTACTGCAGAATTGAGCCATAGCGCTACTAACGACATGTTTAGTACCCATGAAATTATTCTACTGCACAGTGGCGCCACGAATAGACTTGTGGCTGGAGAATATGTTACAGCAGAGAAGTGCAAAGCTCGAAGCACACCAGTTTCAAATATAACTATCTGTGACTTAATAAATAGTATTGGTCAGGGTACATCATCAAGTATAAGAATGTAAGGACCATCTGAACAGCATCCCACCACCCGCAGAAATGTCGTTACCACTGACAAAGTTGGCAACTTGTACGTCCAGCTAAGGATTCCATCGCCACACCGTCCAGAGTGTGACTGCTAAATAAGTTGTAAATATCCCAGTCATTTGTGCACCAGATAATTTAGAAATATATATCAATCGTAAAGAAATATAAACTACGAGAACACAAGTAGTACCACATCAAATACATTGGTGAGCGAAGGAAGAATGGTAGAAAACTTTATGAAAAATACCTTGCACATGAAAAAATGGAAGTTTGTTGCATTATTTGACGAGAGCTGGATGTGATTGACCTTGTACGTGAAAGATTGAAGTTTTCCGTATCATCAGAAGAGATTTGTATGTGCTTGAACAACTGCAACAAGAAACAGGTTATTTGGTGATACAGAAAATGTAGTGTTTATTCGTCGAATTGCAGATGAAACCTATGTTCATGCCATACCCTCTTCTCTAACATGTTGAGTCACCTGGCTGCTCACTCATGGACTTCGTTTATTTAATCATGGTCTTAAAAACTGACACCCACATAGTACATTAGACTGATTAGAGGATCAGTGAAAAGCTTGCCAAGATTTATGGTTTAGGCTTAACCTCGCGTCATCCTTCTTTTTATAGCCATCAGCGATCGTCAGTAGAAAAGAGATCCAGGTCATTGTCTTTATAAAATGTGATTAATCTTCGGTATGCCTTTCGCATGTCGTCCTTTATAAAGAAAGTTAACCAACGTGTTTCTTCAG